TGGCGGAAATGCAAAACAGTACCTGTAAATGAAACAGAAGCTGATCTCGTCTAGAAAGCTTAAATACCGAGAAACCAAACAAGAAACAAATGAACAACTTCTGGAGTCGCGTTTAATCTGCTGCTGCATCGACAGAAGTTTACAGCTCTGTAGGGTGAATCTCACCAGGGAATTGCAGCTAGCTCATCCATCTCCTTTCTCAACTCGCGTGTTTATTGACCCACGTCACATAACAGAAGGCCAGTATCGGGATCTTGCAATACTTCCTCAACAATATGTTATATTGATTGGATTTTGTATGATTTCAAATCGAGGGCAATGTTAGCAGTCACCGGATAAAAGAGACGGCCGACATGACACATGAGCGATTGTGGACACACAGTCAGGAAATCGATACGCTGTTTTATTAAGTAACATAAGCTGGCACATTAACACGTAACGGAAAGCTACGAAATTAAGTATGGTACATATACTGTTCACTTTTTGGATACAGAATTCAGAACACCCTCCCCTTCCGCACTGACACACTCTTTGAGGCGCTTAGTGAAACATTCCATCACGCGTTGTAACACGTCATAAATAGCTTAACCGATGCGAAAAGTGACGTCTCGAATACGCGATTTTTCAGATACTACCACAAAAGCTGCGAAAAGTGACGTCTCGAATACGCGACTTTTCAGATACCACCACAAAAGTAGTAGTGGGCTGAGAAGTCAGGAGATCTTTGCGGCCAGTTTAAATGCAAAATGTGACACCAAACTATGCAGAAACATTTTGCGTAACTTCTTTTAATCATTTCGTGCAGTATGTGGTGTAACACTACGTATGTTGCCAGAACTACGGTGTCGCAAGTGTTACCAACCCAATTCCCGTCCGCCATCAAAACTTTGCACTCCTTGTAATGTTGTATACTACTCAACATGCAAACGTCAGTCTTTTCTACCGGATCGCGTGTTAAGTGAATAATTATGGAAAGCCAATAAAGAGTTATTCTCTAAAGACCCCTGACAATGTCTGGGTCATTATTCGTTTATCACTATTTTGTTATTGGAAGTGAGAAAAATATTTGATATACACAAGTTGGCTCTAGGTGACTGGCTACTCCTGATTTATCCATTTTAATCACCCTTTGATTTGACGTTACCTTGGCCGGTTGAAAACTGAATTAAAACAAGAAACAAAAATTAATGAAGTACTGTAACTTCAAGTTGAGTGTGTGAGTATAACTTCCGAGCAGGAGCAGGCTTTCTCAGATATGGTAACAATTTCCGCTGGCGTTCTGAGTCTGTTGTTGCCCTACTCAATGACAGTGGTTTTAATTCGTTCTCGTCTGTCAGATAAATAAATCTGAATCTCTTTAATGTGCACATAAATATGTAATTAAAATTAAATTATTTGGTATTCCGTCAGATCACAATGTATTTAAAATAAGATAATTAAAATAATTAAAATATCATTCTTTGTTCCATATCGAATAATCGATTTACAGTTGGAACAGTTACTGTAACAGTATAATTTAATTTTAATTCAATAAATCACAATATGACGCAACTACACTATTTTATAAATATGTAAGTTTTATGAAAATATCACATATAAAGAAGAAGAATACAGTACGAGATGCCTAGTTGTTTTCCGAGAACTGTACGAAATGTTGATAACCACATATTGCAAGTGTCTGCAATCTGAAGTCTTGCTTGAGGGGGAGCTGAAATAAGTATAGAAGCGATAGTGCCAATCAGTGCGCCATTATCTGGTGTGCGCAACTATTACCCAAACTGGATTTTTTCAGCCGTCTCCACGGTGAGATAGCAGTGATTATATACAGTACAAGATTACATGACGTCATAACCTCGACGAGTAATCCACGTTCTTTCATTGTTTCGGAATACCGGTAGTCAGATAATGACAGGACTGTAGAGTCCTGCGACGCGTTTTAAGGACACTCGGAACAAAGTCATAAAAACAGACAGTTGTTAAACGCAAGTCATGAAACAAACTTATTTCTTTGTTTGTACCAAGGCAAAGAATATTCCCGAACTGAGATGAAATAAAAGTAGAACTTGAGATTAGAATGGAAATGGATGAAAAACGTGAAAATATTTCTCCTTTTCTGCATTCGTAATGGATATGCGAGCGCAATTGAAGCGATCCGTCACCTCCGCGAGATCGATTAATCTCTCTCGAAACACGGAGTGCGAAGTAAATCTTCTTTCATTTCATTTGCATAAACAGTGGAACGCTGCTTTCTGCAGGTTTTTCAGTCCCTAATCTCTAGAATAAAGAGATAATCCTTTTATTTATGGACGGCTAATCCTGTCAAGAGTTGTACCTTTCAGAAACAAATTCTGCTGGAACTGTGAACGGACGATGTACACAAACATTCAAATGCAACAACAGCCACTGTGAAAGACTTCCCAAAACGGTGGAATGTTTGAATATTCTAGTACGTCGGATCCAGTTCTAAACTCAGATGGGACAGTGGTTATTCTTTTTGAGAAAGCATCATGTAACTCTGCGGAAGAAATAACCTTTTAATATATATATATATATATATATAATCCGATGCTGTTCGAATATGAGCAAGTTTAATCCACTCTACTCTGTTTGAGAACACAGCAACACCAGGAGGCGCTTCAACCCTTTGAAGCATCTACATATTTAAAAATCAGTCCCTGTCTCGAAACAAAACAAACGCGTCTCCATTAAAAACAATAATTCGTTGATATCATTTAGGAAATTAAACACTGTTTGTTCCGAGTTTTAAGAAATGCATTTCTGTTGCGTTTATATCATAGGTTGGCGTGTAGTAAATTCTAATAAACAGAAAATCTGTTGTGCAGATCGACTGTCAAACTAACGACACACTCTGTAAGCAATATAAAGACACTTAATATTATAGCAGGTGGCACACACAGTTACCACCGTGATTTCATGGGTTAACGCAACATAAATTTTAATGTATCGGAGGCAGAAACCATCTGCGGTCTTGGTGCCCTTTGAGTCATTGTTTCGCAGACGTCGGAATGATCTGACAATGGTGATTGTTCCCTTGTGTGCATAACAAAGTATCAGCGCCCCACATCAGCTATAAATCATGAGTATCGTACAATCACCACATGGCAAATCCAAACACAACGTTGCATAGGGCAACAGTATTTGTTATTCTTTGGAATTCTGCCACAATACACATATGTTGCCATTCGTCATTACTACGCAAAAGTGATTAAGGACAATTACTTCGGTTGAAGAGATTTGCAAATTTGTTGTTGCACACGAAAAATATCCACAGAATTATATCACCGACTAATTAAAAGTATGTACGAAAGAAATTTTCCTTCGTCAAGAAGCTGGTTAAGAAACCCAAGCTCTAAATGAAATCAACACAGCCATCACGTAAGATTGTAAAGGTACACTGACAATCTGAAGCTATTATTTGGTCCTCGGTTCGAACCTTGGTCAGGAGGCTATCTATCCTGACAGATATTTCGTGGTAATCCACAATCCATCTAGGCGAATGTCGGCAGAGCACTTCAAAACTCGGCCACGAGCGTTTCCTTCCACATCCTTTCAAATTCACTGATTATCGATTCCAACAACCACAATCACTATGTTTGAAAACGTCGCTAAACAAATTACGAATAAATAAGTATGAAACTATCCAGTCTTGCAAAGAAATTATATGGCTCAAACGTACCTAATAGAATAAAAAATAGTTGTCTTCTTTCGCGTTTGTCTCCAATGAAGGCGTGTTGCGTTCCAGTCAGCCTGTGGACCGTAACTAGACGAAACATGCAGCCTGCGAAACCGAAATGGACGCTACATAGCTTGTCCCCCTCGAGTCATGCGACACGGTACAAAGAGCTGACCTGTAAACAAAATACCTCATAGTGGGAGAATTGTGATATAAACACAACAGTGTTTTTATAAATCTGATATATTTATATTTCCAAGCTAAAAGCATTAATAATATTTACATGGTCAACATAGGAGAGTAAGAATTGATTCAAAAAGATGCACCAAGTTTATAATTACGCACAATTAGGTCACACGTCTCATCTTATCTTCGTCACTTATCATCTTTGAAACACTGACGTCTGCTACTGAGTAAGGACGAAAGGATCAAAGTAGGATTTGAGGTTCTCACGGCGGTGATTACAAAGACGGCTATCATCTAGGATGTAGTCCCGTGTACTCTAATAGAAGTTTACTAACATTTCAGAGGTCCTTGCTGTCTCCATCATCAGGGCTATCGCTCTAATAATGGAGGCACCAAGGACCTGATGACGGAGGCAGTATGACCTCTGAAACGTTGGTTAACATCGACCAGACTACACAGCGCAACAACCCAGAAGACAGAAATCTTCGACCTCTGAAACGTCGGTAAACTTCTACCAGAGTACAAGTCGCAACAACCCAGAAGACAGAAATCTTCGTTAAGATCAAAATTCTTTCTTTGTCCGTGAGCAAGGCCTCGCTTAACCAATCATGTTACATTTAAATAATTACGTCATAGAACACTGTCCATAATTATTGGCACTGCAGTCTTGTATGTGGCAGGAATAACAGCAGCACATAATTCTTGAAAACCATTTATAATTTGTACTTTTCGGTATACTGACCCCTTACGCACTTTTCTTCCAATTCAATCCACATGCGAGGTTCGATAAAATTATACTGGCTCGTTCAAACGAAGTATTGGACACAGGTTATCTGATATTTGATGTTCAGGATTTCAGACATTTGAATCTTGCTTTCATCGCAGAGAATTTGTAATGGGGCGTAGCCTGACAATTAATCAAACGCTGTTATATAAGTCATGAATTATAAAACGAATACTATAGCTAAATAATACCGACAAATTGTACTCTCGTCATACAAAACTGATTTATGTAGTAGAAAAGATAATATGCTACAGAGTGATGTAAAGTACAGTAGCATACAGAAGGCAAATGTAACGGTAGAAATATCCATGCCCATTAGAATAAAACAATCAGTCGTAATATTTGATATCACATTCATATTTTAACCAAAATTAAATTATTTACAGACAATTTTATTCTACGTTACTGTACATGTTTTAACTAATAATTATATAAGAACGTGTCGTAAAGAATGCCTAAGTTTTGAATACATTTTGTTAAATTATTTCTAGTGTTGAGTTTATTTAGCCTGAAGCGATGTATACCGTTGATATTTTATTCGTGTTTTAGTACATTTCTAAATGGATTAATATACTCAGACCTAGACAAATGTATTTGTACTCCCCATCCTTCTGTAACTCGTAAATATTTGATGTGGGCTTTACACATTAATTTCTTTATGAAAATGGTTGCTAGAAAACAGCGACACAGATAAACAACATTTAGATTTCATAACATCGGAGAAGCTACAACCAATCAGAGTCATGCTTTAAATACAAAAATTTGATCAGCTTGCGTTCATTCGCGTGAACTTTTTTCAGAATCAACCGATGTTTCTCAAACGGTGACAACACGCTAGCGTCTGTATTCGCATTTCGACGGTGATGCATCCAGTAAATTCATTTCATAAACAGAATAAACACACCATTTAACTGCAAGCCTGTCCATTCTGTTTTTGAGGTACATTATTTTGTTTTAAATGTTCAGCGGTAACACAAAGCGACAAATACTTTTGAGTTTACATGAAAAGTTAATGATGGTATTCGTCACTGATACTTCCAAACACGAAGCACACAGGCTAGTATTAGGAACTGGAACATCTAATTTTAATATAATTGATACATGGAGCCACATGTATTAATGTCAAGCTCAAAACACCAATATATATATTCCGCCATAAAAATCTTTACTTCAAAATGGAGGTGGAAAAAATTTCGTTAATCTTCTGCGGTAAGTTTTAAAATAACAAATACTAATCATGAACGTTACCTCACAATTCATATCTGAGAAGAAATGTATTTATTTTACTGGAAAATACATTGCGAAAATGAAAAGAGTCATAACCTCAAAAGTTATGAATGCAGTTGGTAGGCCTTGATGACGAGGGCCGAACAAGAACAAGGACTTATTTTCGACTAAATTTACTTTAATATAATATTTCACCGAGTGGGTTACATCAGAAACAAAGCTGCTTGTGCATTCCAGAGATACATGGAATCAGTTAACGTGATTGATGTTTTATGGTCTTAATATCGTAAAATAAATGCTCCGATAGAGGTAACTTAACACAGCCAACCACCATTCCATCTAAAGTCCTTCTAGATTCGCTATTTATAACTGCTGTCATTTCGTTTTCGACGCAACATATTATCTGAAGCTCATAAAGCGTCATAAAATAAACGAGGAAACAACAGAATATCTCGGGGCGTCCTTGCATTCATTTCTATCTGCTAAGTACTTTAAATTTTCCTCTTTACTCTTGTCACTAAAATCGCACTAAAGCATGAGCCCAGAAATCTGATAAATAAACAGGAATAACAACTTAATGGAATTGTCGGCTGATCCATTACTACAGCAACGAAATGCACTTGGAACTGTTAACTGCAGATGTCACTGCCAATCCTTTCTAAAATCTTTAATATCCGTGAAGCAGTGTCCCTCGTGCTGAATTAAAGTTACGGACTACAGTAAAAAATACACTGCATATAGAAGTTGTTTTTCATCCTGCTTCCTGAGAAACTAATTGATTAAATAGTATTTTCTCACAAAATATCGCTACTTTTAATGTTTTATATCGCTTAAAGATGCAAAGAAAATAGTCACATTTTTTATTTGTTACGCTAGTCAAATGACGCATACGAGTGAATATCTTTCTTATGTTACGCGTACTCATGGACTTTGTTCGTAACGTCGCAGGTTTTTCTGCTGAATGTACATGGCATCACATAAAGTAACCACGCACATCATTTGAATTCCAGATTCGTCTTTAGAACTAAGCAGCTTCTTAGTATACTTTAAAAAACCGTATGCAAAAGTGGCACAAATAACCAATACGATCTTCTCTCAAAGAAGGAAGAGTTTTCAGATATCATATAACATTTTGGAAATTATTTTCCCATTCTTTAGACAGAACAAAAATTTGCACTTTGGTTAAAAGGTCAGACTCAACAGTTTTATGAATAGCCTGCTTTGTCACGTGGGAAATACATGTTTGAAGTAAATTTATAACTATAATATGTACTTTAATATTTATTTGACTTCAACTTCAGCCTTAATAATTAACAACAATAATAGAAAGCAATTTTGATTCTATTTATAGCGTCTGAAACGTCCGTCCGTTGTTACATTATCGAAGTTATTAAAAACACGTAAACAGTAATGGAAAGGCAAGAATTTTATGACATCTGGTCCAGACATGTCAAACCCGCGATCATGTTCGATGTTTTATGCGACATGACTCAGTTATCGAAATGTAAGCTACAGATGGCTGAAACTATCCCAGTTTCAATAAATGTTAAGTTTCAAACGCGTGTAAAATCACTACATTAGTACCGCTGATTCATATTTTAATTTAAAAAGTGCAAATGTGTTTCGAAGAAATTCACACTTGTGTGGCTTGTGGGTAAACTGATGAACGAAAAATATAACTTAAACTTAAGCCTGGAAATGGTGAAAGTAGGTGGTTATGATTTCCCCACCCACGTGATGGCTGGCGGAACAGCTGTCTGTTTTTTAAGTGGACCTTGGCAACCACTTAGTATGACGTACCGTCTCTAGTCTATCTTTAACGTCTTATGATATTGGTCTCTTTTTAACGTAGACCCTATTTTCCACCTTACGTTGTTCTATTAATGCCTTCCCCGTGTTTCACAAAATTTCAATATTCCGAGGCTACAAACTACTGCATTTTCATTATATGATCACACTTCCACAGACTGCCTTAATGCATTTACCGATAATTCCATTTGTCTTCCATATTGATTTTATCTTGTCAGCAGTTTAAAAAGATAAAACAGATTGACACTAAAAGAGTTTAAACCTGATCAGTGATGCTAAAATTGCCGATGAACATGGACGTCGTTCTTACAGCCAAAAAACCACAGTCGATGGCCGTGTTTGTCTCCTTTCAACTAACTGCTGCTGCTGCTTGCTGAGGACCTGCTGTCGTCCTGAGTGTCGTCGCTGTCCACGCTGAAGCCTTCGCTCCAGTTTCCAGAGTCGAGCGCGCGAGATGGCGGCTGTCACATCTCCAGGATCACGTCCTGGTCTACCAGACTGTCAGACAGACTGTCGTGAATCGGGCCGGGCAAAGAATCGTCGATTACTTCTGGCATATCCTCAAACCTGTGAGAAGGCAAAGGGCGAATAACTTCAACTGTGTTGGCAGCGCTGTGGTTCACGGCTTCTGTTAGGTTAAAGGCTAACAGCATGAAATGTATTAAGAGTCAACCAAACTGTTTATGAGCTGAAAGACATAAGAGCGGGAAGTTCTTTGCTGCCTGCTAGCAGACTTCTATGCACTGGATGTTGTTCAGTGTCTTCCTAATTGCTTTATGCACTACTCTATGGTTTGTTTGTTGCTAATTCCATTGAATTTATTTTATTTTTTATTTGTGTCATGTAATTTGCTGTTGGGACAATACGCTTTTAACAAATTATTATTATTATTATTAACAGGTATTTATTATTGAACATTAACATGTATAGCAGAATCTATTATTCTGACCACTAATTAACTAGCCACTGCTTCCTTAGAGGTTCTCTTACCTATATTCAGGAGGGCTGTCTGAGATTTGATGTTCTCTCGGTAGTGATGGCATCGACTGCGTTATTTTTGGTTGTAACGCAGCAGCAAGCCGTGTGGTCTTGTAGGTAGTTACCAACGTTTCGGAGAAACGTGACAACCCCATCTTCAGGGTCAAGGGCATCAGGATTGGGATGTGAGGCGTTCAGTAGAGATCTCTTTTAAGCTTTGTCAAGAAACGGAAACTAGCGACGATACTTACCTGTCATAACTGTCCTCCCTGCTCTGAAGCAGCAGGTCCTTGGTCTCAAAGCGATTCTTGCACGTTAGCAGGAGATAAAGGCTCGCTAGCAGGACCAGCATAACGCCTGCAAGACAAAACAGTGCCACCTGTTTGTTATAGTGGCGGTCACGATGTTGCACGCCGAATAGCGGAGGCAAAATATAAATGATTCGGTAAAGATTCGAACTTGAAGACACCCGAATACAAGTCAAGTGGCACAAAACTGAAATAACCTCCTAATTAAATGTTAGGTCTATTTATTTGTTCGATTCTCACAATGTCCGGCCCCCTCCCGTGTCATAACTTATGTTTGTCTGTGCGTAAGAATCCCTTCTATTTACTTTTAATAGCTTCATCGTTGATGGTATTACGACTTAATGACTTCACGCATTGACTTCCTTCGTTTTGTCATGTGTCACTTATATCAGGCCTACGTATAAAATAAGCATAGTTTCGGAAGTAGATTAAACACGGAATGTAAGCCTCTTGCCATTTCGTAATACGAGTGGGTGGATTTCATACTGTACCACGAAGTTTACCAACCTCGTTATCCGTTTCACTACTGTCTCTGTACATTCGCAAACAAGCGGCAACATCTCCAAATCTTACACACATGTAGCATCCCGACGCCATTTTCAATGTATTGTGTGGTGCTGTCTTCAGTTACCATGGAACAAGATACAGAAGGCCTCATTCACAAAAAGCCAACTTCCTCGTACAGAGTCAAAGGTTATTCAGCAATTCAACAAATACCTTGCAGCTACAGAACCAGAACTTTTGCGGTAACAATCACTTACTCATTTTCCTGTTCACAACTCCGAAAACTACGTAACGGAGATCCATTTGATACTTCGCCTTGCGTGTCTTGTATTCGGAAGATTTTTTCCGTCTGACCAAGGATCGCCTATGGCGAACTGAAACATTCACGGCGCAATCGGAAACCTTAGTCAGACTGGATATGCTAGGTGCAAAATTCGAATGGGGCAGATATCGAAAGAGAAATGGAAGTTTCTTACCTTCCCTTCGTTCGCCCAGAAGACATCCGAGATAATAATCTTAATCCTCTGACTTTAATTTCACCAACATGAACGAAAGCAGGCGGCGCAGAGAGAAATACAAATGGTATCCGCTTCTCTCTTGAAGTAACTGAATACTTTATATACCAACTCTCTGAAACTGATTGACTTGCAAGGGCACGTGAAAGTAGAAGCTCCCAAAACTGACGCCACAATTCGTGCCGGTCACATAAAGAATTTCTTAGCTCACAGATTCCTGTATGTTGGAAGAAACGGGAAAATACTTCCAATTTTTTGTTAGCTCATAGCAAGGTCTGTACAATTATCATATAAATGACGAAATGAGTAAGTTACAGACAGTCTTATCCCGGGCGAAGTGAAGGTCTATGATATACGTTAGTCCAGGATGTCCAGGGCTTAGCAAAGCGTT